TTTGATTGCCACAATAATTTTGTGTAAATGAGCATAGGCACTAAGTCACATAAGAATAAAGTAATCTGGCTTGACTGTTTTTTTATATTTTACGCATTAAACTTTTATATCCATTCACGCTGGAACTGTACAGTTTGTGATGTAGTTTTAATGTTAGTCACTTATATTAATGGTTCGCTTTGTAAAGCTCAAAGCTTCGTGAGAAATTGCAGCCCAGATTTAGACAACTTTCATTAAACGGCGCCGTTCTTTGGCGTTTTGCTATTTTCTCGCGTTTTGTCTTACTTTAAATTCTCATGCATTACTACGAGTGGATATTTTGTTTCCATCACTTTATTGAAGTTTGCCTAAAAATTGGCAGAAGATTTAATTAAAGAACTAGTCATTTCATATGACAATGACTTAATATAATCTAAGTCATTCGTAAATATCACATTTACACTTGTTTTTATGACTGCCGTTTTATTTTCACATATAAAGTATTGAGTAAATACCTGTTCAACTTTTCACATTACGACACTGATCAATCACCCACTAAGGCCCTTGTAATTAAAAAGTCTATTTGGTTGGGTTTCTCTGTTGTTCAACCATTAATTTTCCCTCCTGCAAATTTAATTAGCGCCACTTTCAGTTACTTGATTTAGGCTGCAACGCTGCATTCTAATTTGCATATTGAGCTGAGAGGAGAGAAAATCAGTTCATCAATTTTTTTTCACCTAAAAAGACTATACACGTTTAAAGCGGTATTATCACACGGAACACAATAAGTAGACTTTGCAAACGCATTCTGAGATATGAACTAGGAGTGCCGCATTATAATTATTAGCATCATCATCATCATTAACATATTGTTCTCATTATATTATGCGCACGTAAGGTATAATCGTCTCAGCACGATTAGGCAGGTGGTAGTAAATTTCATTGATCTTATTGGCTACTCCCTGGCATAGATCATGGTGAGATATCGTGAGCTACTCCAAATTAACGGAATTATTTTCTAGAATTAACAAGTTGAATTATGAAACGTCAAAATTGTATGTTTATTCACCCCTTTAATGCAATTATTATCACTACTGGCTTTCATGATTGTCCCATAATACTAATTTCAATTATGTTAATTAATTTGATTCCAATTTATTTCTATTAGACTTATTGGTTAACACTTCGTAAGAGAATATGACTAAAATGACAAAAAATTATGACGATCTTTCTTTTATTTAAGGTGATCGATCAAATTTTTATGCTTCTCTTATGCGTTTTACTAATTTCGCTAAGAAACTAAATTAATTTGTGCCAGCAAAGTTTGCGAAAATGATGTTGGCTTTGTCTATAAAGTAAAAAATAAATCACGTTCTTAGATCATTTTTCTAAAATTCCTTGACAATTATTATGATGTTTTAACATCTTATATACGATACAGCTTTTGTTTCATCTAAACGTTTTTTTTTCAAAAACTCATCAAATATTCTCATTTTACTTCAATCTTAAAACATTTTTTTACACTGCCACGGACGAGATTAATCTGATTTTTTTATGAACTTAATGGTTGGTCTATATATAGCATTTATTTAATCAAATTAAAGCTTATTAGAAATCTAATTGTCATTAAAGGTTAATTGATTAACTAACCAGATATTCAAGACTCGCCTTAACTTGGGTATTTTCTCCTTTTACATTTGAAAATCGATTTCAATTAATGTTTGATTACTCATCAGTGTTCAATTAGATTTAATCTCAGTAAGTTTTCGTGGATTGTTTTCATTAATGGCTTTTGTACTTTATAGCGTTTACAAACGTAACTTCAAAAAATACCTGTTTTGCTAGATTAAGAGTAAGCTAGATTAATAGCTAAAAGATTGAAGTATTCTCTAAATTTGAGTTATTTTCCCTGATGAAAAATAATATTTACTTCTAGGTCAATTATTATACAACTTATGTAATTTTCTCCTCAAATTAGCACCAAATTTTGCGATTTATCTTACAGAGTAATAATCGAATTTGAAGGGGAAATTTAGTTAGTTTTTATAGAATAGAATCTGTGAAGGTTTGTATGTGATTTGAGAATTTTCTATTATGAATACGCATTTTATAAGATTGTCTATATTTACGGGATCAATTAGATTCACCAAAATTGAACCGATTTATAAGTGGAGATCAAATAAAAAAAATCGAACTTTGAAACATTAATTATTTGCAAGATTTACATTTTGACTATCTGGCTAAAATACCCTGAGAACCTTCATTATTAACACCAATATTATGTATGAACCTCCTTGATTGAAAAATTTCTCCTACTTCTCGTCTTGTTAATAAAGAAATTGGAACAAAATTGCGTAACTAACCAATGAATTGGACTGCTTATTTTATAAACCGTTCATGGATTTCGAATTATATTACTTAGTTTCAAATGGATTTGTTGGCAATTGTATTAGCTATTGGTTTCTAAGACCATTTCACGAGCTACTCTAATTTCATGGGATAACAGAAGGTTTGAATACATGACCATTGGCTATAATTCCGTATTTTCAAATCAAATAATAACCAATTGCCAAATTTAAAAGCAATATTTCATTATGGAAAGTGTATAGTTCAATAAGAGATATTTCAGAGCGTTTTATAACATCTATCGAAGACATATTTAAGGGTTCATATTTGTTTTACACGCTTTGCTTTATGTATTCAGATCCGTTAATAGCTATCTAAAGGGAACTCCAAAGCTTAAATTAAACGACTTCACTCCCCTGGTTTACTGAACCTCTTCCAGCTCCCAATCTCCATTGCAAAATTTGTGATTGATTGATTAATTGTCGTGGTGGGTATTCTCACTTTTATTAATTTATTTCACCTTCAAAGGTCGGAAAGCGTAATGAGTTGTTTACCATGCTGTTATAGTGGAGCAGCCATGCGTAAATGAGTTCACTCAAAATTAATTGCAATTCTGATCCTTTCCTTCTAATTATTTAAATAGGAGTTGTGGTGTTCAATATTGCATGCTTTAGCGTGATGAGATGTCAATATTTTGCTTTCTGAATTCGTTTAGATTGCTTGCCTCATTTAATCCCAAGGTCAATATCGTCTGCTAATAATTTCAAATTCATACGCGTCGCAATCCATTCTGCCTGCGTTGATTCATATGAGTAATTAAGGCATACTTACCGAGTTTTTTCCCATCAACAACTATTGGGACCACCGAGCAGGTTAATTAAACTCGGCGTCATCAACTCATCAAATATTGATTTATTAAAACTGGTCGCTCATAGCGCCAATCTAAGCTCCCGTTGCCCAAAAATTCTAAAAATGCTAATTCTGTTAATAATTTTAAGTTCGTAAGCTCCGCAATCCATCTTACCTGCGTTGGTTCCTATGAGTAATTAAGGCATACGAACCGAGTTTTTTCCCCAAATAGCTGTATAGTATGCAGTTGATTCCCTGCTATAATTCATACGTTTCGAGCAATTTTATTGAGATGCTTCCTGACTAACAAAATACTCTACTTATTAATCGTATTGGTTGTCAGCATTATTTCATTTTTTATGATCAATGAATCATTGTCTACGAACACGTGAAAGAGGCGAGTATTGTGTGGAGAACAAGCAAAAATCCCCTCTGCATTGGTTTGTTCCATTAGGATTAAGCCCACTACTTTGCAATTCTTGTCAAATGGTACTACCGAAGATTTGATTAAAATGAAAGATGAGCTACTTTCAATACAGCAATTACCATGAGGATAAGATATTTAAATTTGATGATATTCACTTAAAACCAGGGATTGCATGTGTATTGAAGATTCGAAGTTCAAGGTATTTTGTAGCGTACTAGAAAACCAGAAGACCCCTGTGCGATCACTCCTGGTCTAGTTCACAAAGTTTTCTACGTTGCCACTTATCTATCTCAATAGAGATAGATAAATTGGATATATATATATATATATGAGGTCAATCTTGTTCAATGGGAATTCGATTATCACGGTTTCTACTTCTCCAAAGCCCTAGTTCAAAAACCAGTTTATATATTTATGCAATGGTAAAAGAAGGCTCCCACTTGCAGTTAATCTGCTTAAATGAGTGAATGTCCGCTCCGCTCCCATATTTAGAGCTGCAGAGTTGTTGGTCATTGCAATAATAGCCTCAATTAGTAAGGCAATGGTCAATGTGAATGTGAATGTCCTGGTTCAAGAGTACATTTTTCCTTACTCAAGTTATATGTTGTAAACACTTTCACTAGTGGACTTGAAAGAAGCCTTTAGTACGTAGTTAGTTGCTGTTAGTGACTAGTACTTCAAGAGCATAATTTCACGCGATTTCATTACCTTACGAATCATCAATTAATTCATTTGTTGTCTAACAGAATCGGTGGTTATAAGTTTATTAATTGGTCAAATTTTAAGAACCAATGAACAAAAAGAGGATTATAGAAACTAACAGGTAAAACATTACACGACGTTCCAAAGCCTAGAATATGAGGAGATGCATAGACCGACCAGTATTGAATAAACTACGAAGAGGAATCGAGTAAGTAAGGGAGAGTAAGGAGTATGGAGAGACAAAGGACAAATATGTATGCTTGGGGAATACAAAGACCACTAGTATGCGTCACTTTGTCAAGTGTGAACACATGAGGGTATGTATGCACAGTCCTGCTTATACTCGAAATGGACATAAGAGCATTACTGCGCTTTCCGGACGAAAGCCAATTTTTTAAAAAAAAGGTTTAGGATCATTCTTCACTTCCAGCTCATATCTTCCATTTTTATTTAATTGGTTCCAGGACAAACGACTCATACCGTTTCCAGGTGCAAGAATCCCACAATTATTAATGTGATAAATCTTATTCTCAGAATATGCACGTCAAGAATATGCAGTAGTATTATTCTGTTATTTGCATGCTTTCCTTTCCTAACTTCAGCAAACGTTGGTGATAAAGTAAAGGAGTTTTTCACATCTCTGGGTCGAAGAAAATCTTCATCTTCTGAACAACTGCGGTCACCGTTAGAAGCACCCATGCTACAAGTTGCAGTCGAGGAAGAGCACCTGGTGAAAACTGCACCAAAGACTGAAATCACAGAGATTACACCAGATGAAACGCCGTCGGTAAATGTTCTCTCCTCAGACTCCTTTCGAGCTGACGATATTCTCCGATCAAAACTTTCCACTGACGAGAGCCTCACTCTTCCAGCACTTTTGCAGTCCTTACCTCCCAAACTTCCTCCTGAAAAGGGGACTCCTACGACGCTGAAATCGCCCAACTTTCCACAAATTATTCCACCTGCTTTCTCTCCTGTTGTCTCCCTGAAACATATCACGCCTTTTGAACGTGCTGAAAAGCCGATGTTCCGTGCTAGACGGTTGTCTGCTCCTCCACCACGATTAGATTCGAATGCTCGAAAATCTCCTTCACCTCCTCACAATGCCCCTCCTGAGCGTCAAGAGAAACCCGATGAAAAAAAGCATGCAAACTCGATGTCTCAAAGCTACCATCCCTTTTCAACATATAGTTGGGATAGCTGGGAACGCCCTCAATTCCAAAGAGTTCCCGGATGCCTTCCCTTTTCTGATGGTGCTCTTTTGGAAAATCGTGGAATGAATGGTTATCAGCCATCGAAAAATGGAGATATAGGACAACAACGGCCGCCTACACTCTACTATGACTACTACACTGGCCAGTATATACCTGGACCAGATTTTCAAACGCACGGAAGGTATGCAACCACTGGAAGATATCGTCGCAGATCTAGGAAGCATCATCATAATCATCGATCTGTTGGAAACTATTCCACTTATGATCATGCGCGATCGGCTTCACTTATGTCAGGTCATACACCTGAACAAGCATATCCTGTAATGGAACAAGAGTTTCGAGGTGATATACAACTGCAACAACCACTTATGCATCCTCATTTTGTTCATACACGACCTTCAATCATGCCACTTTCGCCTAGGGTCCAACAAATATATCAACCAATGGTTGAAAGCATGCATCCTGCTTATAGTGCTAAGAAACAACTTGTTTCCAGTGGAACAGATGACACCCCCATGCAGGTTGTTGAAACTATTGGAAGAACGCCGAGGCGTCCCTCTAAAATTCGTCCTATCAATGTGGCCCCGGTAAATACAGCTTATCTGGAAAGTGTACCCCCAATATTTGTACCCCAGACAATGGTTTACCGTCATGTTTCCCAGCCACCTTCTCAAACACTAGCTCCTATTAGACAGGTCCAAGAAGAGCAACCTCTCCGATACACCAGTGATGTTGTGAGATCGATCAATCGTCAAGCCTTCAAAATTGGCCAAAAGGGTAGCAGAGATGGAGCGCTGTCGCCAAGAGACCATTATCTGGAAGTAATTAGTAATGGAGTCCCCAAACCAACTGCGAGGGAGATACCAGAATATCCTAAAGGACGACTGAATGGTGGAGATGAAAGGAAGATTTCGGTAAAGGATTTGGTGAAGAAATTTTCGGTTCAATCTGATGACGACGTCTTTGTCAGAAATTCGAGGAATGATGTTAATAATAAAGGGGGGTCGAGAAATGGAAATTATGCAGAAGATGGTACATACCCATTTCGTCGCTGAAATTGTTACTGTTCTTTGATTTTTTCTCCAACCTGATGTAGTGGTCTTGACTTTAACATGTATTGTTGAAACCCTCTATTCCAAGTATATAAACACTAACTTTACATTGTGTCCTCGATCTGGTAAACATTTTTTTGTGATTCTCAATGCTATGAACTCGAGAGTTCCAATGAATTTTGAAGATATGACAAGCATTTGCCTTTTACTAAAGTATTATGAAAACTTGTTAAAGGTGGACGCGGTTTATCAATTGCTTTATAACTTAAGCGTAAATTTTAACTATTATCCCTTATTGTACCGAAAACGTTGTAATAATATGATAGAATTATGAATCTTTAAAATCAGGTCGATATACAGTTACTTTCATTTATAGAATTTTGCGCATTGTGAGCCTTACACACACAGTAACTTAGTGCGATTACTGTGATTGGTGCAAATCGTTTTTTACACTCAGTATACTATCATATCAACCTAGTTGTAACGATACTTGTTTGTTCATTTCACGTGCATACTAACCATAGATTAATGTTTTGCGGCCAAATAATTTTTAAATTAAAAGATGCATTAAAATATTTAAGTAGTATCTTAATACTTAAATAATTTTTACAGTTAAAATTCGTGAAGTTCAAAAGGTACCTTCGCTATCTTCTGTACCATGACAAAGGCCCATGTTAAAGGCAAATACAAGTTACTTATTACGATATTGAATTCTTTTATTTCAGACTTCGTTAACTTCTTAGTTCTTACTGTTTTTGCAACCTATAACGCGTAATAACAACCAGTTACAAATTTAAATTTTGGGGAAATATTGTGTTTGCCTTCTCCCTATCTCCATCTCGATAAGTGATATAATAAAATTGGTACAAGAAGTAGTTATTGAAATAAGAGGGTTGATGGGGTCAACATTAAGGGGAACGCTCAAAAAAGATAACATATCTTGAAATGCGAGTTGAAATATTCGAACCGCACACACTAGTGTAGGTATGGGACACAAATATATGGAAGAGGAATGAGTCATTGCCGAAACAATATAAAGCGAAATATGTCGCAGGTGTGGGAGTGGAGTCAACACTTTATCAGGGGAAGGGTGATGTTCCATATCAGTAGCTGTTCCCTACGTCTCTTATCCCTATATCATACTTGTTAACCTAGAGACAACAGTCAACCAATAGACACGGCTCTCAACTTCCAGTTCACATCGGATTCATTTTTAGTGTTTTCTGTTTAGTCTTTTGTCGGATAAACTCCACTAGATGCAATTCAACTCTGTTTTCATCTCGATATATTGTGAAAGTCTTGGCTTTACCGAACACTATTTTTCTGACATGAATGTTTAAACCACGATTGCTTTTCAGGAGTTATATTCCATTATACATTCTTGGTAGTCAGAAAATATAACTCCAAAGCCACGTAATTATGATATGACGTAAATAAATCAGCGTTTTGGTTGAGTTTCTCTTTATTGAAAGGTTTGAAATACTGTATCAGCTGACAGTAAATGTCTCTAATTAGATTAACATCTTCCAAGGGTTGGGATTCTTATTTATTCTTAGTTTTATCTGTCGATAAATGAAAGGCTTTGCAGTAGTGTAATTACCATATATTGAACATATGGTATCTTTATCTTTTTTATGAAAAACACATTAAAATGGCTACACAGAAGCCGTGATATCGATCGGAGACTGATTATTGATTTATATGTTAAAGTCATAGGCCCCAATTGTCAATTAATTGTAGCATTTATTTTTTTTACCTAAATCAGATTTATGACGAAAAAACATAGGTGTTAGACTACTAAACGCTAGAGTGCACGTCACTATTGATTTTAAGACGCCCCAAGGCGTTAATGATAGCCAATATATAATGTATGCTTTATCAAAAGCTAATTAAATATTCGTTTGAGTAGAGCGATAAGCGGGTTTATAAAGTTTGTTTTTATTGAATGGCAGGCTTTATGACAGTTATCATTAGCCCTTTAGTTGACTTCGGGCTCCACTTAGAGTGGAGGAACAGACAGTCACGAAATGTCAAGGGGGGGAACAGAAGAGTGATTCACAGATGTAAAAGAAACAAAGCTAGGGAAAAAAGTTAAGATGAGTACTGTGAATGCGGTCGAAAGTGGCATACAGTGGGGTCGTGGTAATTTGAAGTCAACTGCCAGTTTATAGACTTTTTTGCAGTTTAAGTATACTTTTCCCAGGGTGCACTAAGTGGAGGTAAATCTATCACACCCTCCCCCCGCGGTTTCTAAAGTTATTTATTTATTTATTTCAAATGGCAGGCGTTATGATAGGTATCATTAGCCCTTTAGTTGACTTCGGGCTTCATAGAAAGGAATATGAACATCAAAGTGGCAAAGAGTCGAGAGGAGGACAGAACAATGATTCACAGATGTAAAAGAGATAGACAGACAGACACAAAGGTAGAGAAAAGGTAAGGTAAGATGAGTATTGTGGAATTATTCGAATATGAAATGCAGTGGGGTCATGGTAGTTTGAAGTCAGAAGTCAACTGCCGGTTAATAGACTTTTTTGCCGTATGAGTATACGTTGCCCAGGGTGCACCACGTGGAGGTAAGTCTATCGCACACCCCGGTTTCTAAAGTAGTAAGCTTTAAATTGCTAACCCAGAATCCTTTTTTGCTGTCAGTCCCAAATTAGGTAAATGAGGTGCCTCCAGGGGCCGAGTATGTCTGTGCTAAAGTGGGTCGGTGTTTTAAGAGAAGAGTGTTATATTTAAAAGGTTCCTTCAAAAACGTATTAACATATATCCTTCCGAGTTGAGAAAAAATGCCTTGTAGTCTTGAATATCTGAATCAGCGCTCTTTTTTAGAAATCACTTGCTTATGCCTAACCGCCTACAAAAGAGCAATTGAGAGAGACTCCAAAAGACTCCCTACAAATACCGTAAACACTTATACTTAGTTATATAACGTTTTATAATGAACTTAGTATATTTATAATTATTTGGCCAAATGTACCATAATGGAGCCTTGAGTGCTCTAAGAAACTCCGGGCAAATGCTTAGGCAAAATTTGAATATTTATACCAACTGGCAGGCGTTTAATAGTTATCACTAGCTATTTAGTTGACTTCAGGCTTCATGGGGGGGGGGCAAAAAGTAGAGAGGGGAGGGGGTAACAGATGAGTGTTTCAAAGAAGTAAGAGACAGACACAAAGGTAGAAAAGGTGAGGTGAGTAATGCGGAAGTAGTCGAATTTGGCGTAGAGTGGGGTGATGGTAGTTTGAAGTCAGAAGTCAACTTCCGGTTAATAGACTTTTTGCCGTATAAGCATACGTTGCCCATAGTGCTCCGAGTGGAGGAAAGTCTATCGCACACCCGCAAAATTTGAATATTGAGGTCGTGCAAGGTACTTTATTTTAATATATAGTCTGTTAAAAGGAAACCGCATTGCGCTTATTTTTGTCTGGCAATGAGCAAGCCCAAAATTTTGGTTCTTAAACCGACAACACAAGACACCCCTGGGAGTTTGACAATTAATCTTATCGTTCCAGTTGTTTCAATTTTTCAAATCGCCACCATGTCGAGGTGGAGTAGGAAAGGCCTTTACGACTCCTTTATAATAATTATTTTTTGAAAGAAGGAAATCCAATTAAAAAAGCGCTGTCATTCGTGGGCTTACTTACTCATCTTTAACTGTAAGTTAGCACATATTTGCACTCAAGAAACTTGCGTAAATTTTAGATGGAGATCCTAATATGGAGGTCTTTCAAACTGAACCCCCCTCCCTCCCCACCCTAAACACTCAAAAGCACTTGGAAAGTATTTGTGCACATGGAATATGACTAAACACATGCTTATTAATTTTTGTTAGCATAAGTACCTAAAAGCATTTGAAAGGGAGAAGGATTTCTCGAAAAAATGTTTTTTTTCAATCTTGTACTCACTAAGACTTCTTTGTTTTGCTGAACTCCTATGCTCACTGGTGTTTTTCGCTTAAATGTGGGGTGGAGGGGGTTATTACTGATTCCGTAGAAAAATGCTGATCTCATATTGTCATGAGCTGTCAATATGAAATGATGAGTTCCCATTATTGGATACAAGTTTATTTCGAAGATGTTAGCAATAACTACATTTTACCCACATTAATGCAATAAAAGTTACTTTTTGATTGTGAATTTTGGTTAACCGAAATTCTAATGATCGCTTAAGTGGGTGGAATTAGAGAGAGCCTGAATATAAAATGCCAAAGTAGCAAAGAATTGTGCTCCGTTTGAAGGCTCTTTACAGAGTTCACACTTCACCATCACTTCCCTGTATTACATCAAATGTTTGTCTGCATTAACCAGTGAGTGATAAAGTGTCGGTCTTACAATTTCAACTTCTTTCATCTTTTAGTGGATTAGAGGATAAAATGATTTCAGATTATTGTGAACGATTTTCCACCAATCAAATCACTCTGTACTGAATAAAATTGCAAAATAAAATGCGAGTACATGCCATTCTTCAACCAAATACAGCTCCGACTATAGGTTTTGAATACGTCACCCGATAGTCAAGCCCAAAATCGAAGGATGGGAACTTTAATAACAAGTTAAACCTGGTAGAATTCTGGTTTTCGATACTGAAATCCATGAAATTAACTTTGAATTCCCACTGTAAATGGCGTTTTTGAGAGTTGTCCTAAAATGGGCACATGGTACTTTAGATACGACCTATCGTGAATAGGCTAAGCACAAAAAAGTGCATGATTGATCTCTGTTAAAATAAAATATTTGGCTGAAATGGAGCATGGGAAACACCAAACTCATTCAAAATTCATATCTCTTGTGACTCCACTGTTAACAATCAGATTAGATATTTATTTATTTATATCAAATGGTTATCATTAGCCCTTTAGTTGACTTCAGGCTTCACAGGGGGGAAGGAACATCAAATTGAAAAAAGTCGAGAGGGGGGAACAGAAGAGTATTTCAAAGATGTAAGAGACAGACACAAAGTAACAGAAGAGCGTTTCAAAGACGTAAAAGAGACAGATACATGAACAGAAGAGTGTTTCAAAGATGTAAAAGACAAACACAAAGGTAGAAAAAAGGTGAGGAGAGTACTGTGAAAATAGTCGAATATGGCATAGAGTGGGATGATGGTAGTTTGAAGTGAGAAGTCAGTTGCCAGTTAATAGACTTTTCTGCCTTATGAATATACGTTGCCCAGGGTGCACCACGTGGTGGTAAGTCTATCGCCAAAAATATTGAAATATTATAAAATTTTGTTATAATAATATCGATTTTCCCTTTATCGCCTTCGGATTTTGCCAAGCAATGATCTTATTTTGAATGAACAATAAGTAGATTGAAATAGACACACTTTAATTTGAACTAAATTCCTTCCATTTCCATGATCTTGAGTAAATCGATGAATAATAAATCAATTGCGTGTTATACAGCTTTTACTGATGATCACTAATTGAAGGTTATCTATGTTAGATGATGGCTCCTTGTATCATCTCGTTTTTAAAAAGCGACATTTAACCGGAGTTTATCAAAGCATGCTACCGTGTCCCCATCACTGTACGTCATCAAAGAGACCTAACCTTATGACTGTCCGGTATTAAAGCTATCCGGTCTCCTAACATTTCAATCTCCCCGCCCTTCAAGATCTCGCAAAGTCGGTTTCATCAGTAAAGTGTCACTTTAGCGCATAAACGTGCACCATATACTTTTTTGATAGTTCAACTTATCCGCCGATAAGTCCATTAGTGAAAATTTTAATATTGTCTGGGGGATGGGGTGGGGACATTGGAAATAACGAAGGCTCAATCGAAGGTTCTAGCAAATAATTAAAAAGGCTGCCTCATTTGGTTAATCCGTGTCTAAAAATGGGCAATAAGCATTCGATTTTTATGAGAATTATGTTCTCCCCTTTCATAAAGAGAAAAGAGTTTTGTTTATCCGAGCTCTGTTGAACTTAAACAGTGTCCTCAAAATAAGTACTATAATGTTGACGTCTTAATGTACTGTTCTTATGGTATGTTTTGTACCTTTCGCCATCTTGTGACATCTGGGATTCCCCTTTTGTCCCTCGTGTGTTTTTTGCACTGATAATCAACAAGACAAAGTCAAACAAGAATCCAAAGGGCTCTGACTTGACGGGTCGTGGATAAAACAGCCTCAATTGCCAATTCTATTCCCTTAAAATGTAAATTCGTGCGAAAATATTGATTTGTGATGCTGACAACCTCATTCGAATATTCGGGAAAAAGAAATTAATGCGTTTGCGCTAATGACACTCCACGTAGGCTCAATGAGCAAAACAGTCTTCAGGTGCTCACTGTCTGGATGCTTGAGAGCTGGCTCGGAGGGGGGGGGGGGGGGGGGAGGGGGTCACCGCGACGTACGTCAGAGTAATGTAGTCGAATTCACTATGGCGGCATTGACACAAATATGGGCTCTGTAACATTTACTGGTAGAAACGAACACTTTAAAGGATTGCTATTAACATACAAATGGCTGACTATACTAGGGCGTTCCCTTAGCACCATAATCCCCTAATTTATTGAACAAAAGATTTTATTTGGTCGGTTTTAAATTACACTCAGACGGTGTCTTAAAATTAGACTCATTTAAGCTTTAAACTTTCTATTTCGTTAATATTTTCTATTCATTTAAATTGCCATTTAATACGGCTTCAGAAATTCCTTTTTCAGTCAGTTGTTTTGCCGTAATCTTCAATGAAACCGTACTCTTGGCTATGTAACTGAACCGCAATTCTATCTTTAATGCCTTTAATTTCCCACAGGTTAAATAGCAAGTGGTAGAGTAGATTTAATGTACTTTTATTAAATTCATTCATTCCCCCCCCCCTCCCGCGCCTCAAATCGATAGGAATGCACGACCTTGAACGTAAATGTCAAACGGATATCAGTTACCGCTGTGCACTTTACCAATTAATAGGAATTAATTTGAATTTAAATGTTTTTGTGCCAAGTAAAAGGGAAGATTAGACGAAGAGCGTTGAATTCCATGTTTTTCAACTGAACATCCAAACTAAAAGAACCAAAATAATAGTAGTTTATGTGTCTTGGTTAGGAGATGGCGAAATGAGGCTATTTGGGGGGGGGGGGGGGGGGGGGGGGTGAGGAGAGGGTTACAAGGCGATTGAGGACATGGAACCCCGAAGGATAGGAGAGGGGGGGGTGTGGAGGGCGAACATTCTGGAGTTATTAAAAACAAATAGACTGAAGACATGGAATCTGACTCCACCACTTCAGCTTTCCATATTCTTAAGCCAATACCTGAATACGTGAACTCATGATGTGTCAGTCTGATTTATTGAAAGCCTACGTTACATTCTCAAAGGAGGGAGGATACTGAGGTGTGGTTATGTAGAAAGTGGCACTATTTCGATAAGCTTCTGAGAGTTCGATGGTAGCATCGAAATTCTCAATCATGTAGATAATGTTCAGCATTAAGAAGGGTTTCCTGATGCAAGATGCTTTCGATGACTTTGGATTTCCCCTAACTTTAACAAATCGGGACTCGGATATTTGCGTTATTTGTAATCGCTTAATTTGTACAAAGGCTCTTCACAAAAGTGTTTCATGCAATTAATTTTTTTTTACTCTTGGAGTTCTAATTACAATTATTGGCTGGTGGGTAAATTTGGACCATTTTGACCTTATTTCCACCCGGAAAGGTCATAGTAAAGGATTGATTCCACTAAGACACATTTCAACCTTAATTGAGCCTAGTATACCACAAAAATAAGGTTATATTGCCACAGGATCAGTGTTATTTTCAATATTTTGATTTAGATAGAGCAAAGGCGGGAACCGTTAATCTAATTGTTGTACCAGACAAAGGACAACTTAATGAGTGAGTAATTACTACTTGTTGGAGTAAAAGTCTACAAACGTTTGACTCTGAGTAATGAACTCACTATCAGTTAGATAGGAGGAGTGTTGGGATATGGAGAGCGGGGAGGGGGGAGGGGGTGTAAATTTGTCTGGACTAAACGTCAAAATATTGTGAGCATAATGAACCCGAATACATTAGTTCCGGCGTTTAATCACACTGTTGACGTTGTGGTAAACTTTTTATTTCATTACCCTTATGTTGGGAGGCTGTTGGAGCTTTTGCAGTCTAGCCTTTGTTTTACTAAATCGATCCAGTCAGCAGGTAATATATATTGAACGAAGAATATTTATTTATTTAGTTATTACAAATGGCGGGCGTTTACGGAGGGAAGAAATATCAAGGTATCAGAAAGTCGAGAGGTGGGGAACAGAAGAGTGATTTACAGATTCAAAAGAGACAGGCAGACATAAAGGCAGAGAAAAGGTAAGCTGAGTACTGTAGAGGTGGTGGAATATAACATATAATGATGTCATGGTAGTTTGAAGTCAGAAATTAACCGTCGGTTTCCATACTTTTTGTGCACAGGGTGCACCACGTGGAGGTAAGTCTATTGCACAAAGAATATGAATTGAATATTTGCATACAATTACATACAATTAACGTAATATGGACTTATTACGAATTCGGCCGAGCCATTTCTAGGCTTTTAGTTCTATTTATCTGGGGTATGTGATAGACTTACCTTCAGGTGGTGCTCCCTGGGCAACGTATTCTCATATGGCAGAAAAGTATCCAAACCGGCTGTTGATTTCTGACTTCAAATTACTATGACCCAACTGAATGTCATATTCCACCACTTTTATAGTACTCAGCTTACCTTTTCTCTGTCTTTGTGTCTGTCTATCTGTCTCTTTTACATGTGTGAACCACTCTTCTGTTCTCCCTCTCGACCTTTTGAGACTTTGATGTTACTCCCTTCTGTGAAACCCGAAGTCAACTAAAGTGTTAATGATAACTATCATAAAACCTGCCATTTGATATAAACAAATGAGTGAACTACTATTTATCTCATTCCATAAACTAGCTGACATAATGTAAGCCTAAACAGCTACAAAATAAAGTTAAATATTTGTTTAGAGATAGTTCTGAAACTAAATTTACTTAATTTTATCTCCATGCTTCTACCTACGGCCTGATAATTGTTGTACTTATTTCATTACAGCCTCTAGCTGCTTTTTTGGAGAATCTGTGAATAAAATCCTCTCATTTATTAATATTTCGGTAAAAGAGATCACATATATCTGTGTGATAAATTGTTGTTTACTTCAACGCAAAATGCGGAATTAGCTAATTTGGAGCCTACCTAGAACCGAATTAATATTATAAAATGACACCATTGTATACCTCGATTCTACTTGGAAAGAGATCAGATATCCTTGAGCCAATTTGTTGACAGGTTCACTCCCCTCCCCCCCCCCCCCCCCCCCCCCCCCCCCACCCCCCTATCCCCTTATTGAGAGTTATTAACCAGTGGGTTTGACCATTCCAAACATAAATCGTGAACTGAGGGTTATTAAAAATGACCTCTGGTGGAACAGAGATGTAATGCACTACGATACATCCCAATAACCTTATCTTGGTCTCACTCATTGATAAGACTTAACCATCACCTCAATTCGGAAAAGCCAATGTTTGTCAAATCAATTTTTAATTTACGATCATGTCTGTCTTAAGATAAAATAAGTACTTGTGCATTGAGAGATCTGATAAATTATGTAAGATAGGAGAATGATAGTTTACATTAGTATGCAAAAGGATATAGACCAACCGAATTGGCACCAAATATGATAAGCAGTATCAAGCAATCAATGAAAAATCTCACTTAATTGAATTTTGCCACGTTCATCTAATTTACCAAAGTGTATTGAATATTGTTTTTTTAAATTGCTTAAATGTGGTCAAATATGAGCAAAAGTTCACCAATTTAATTTATTCTTTTAATGCAAACATTCGAATTAATGACAATAATAAATATTTAGCTTATTTTAAGCCCTATAAGATTTTCCAAAGGCTAATTCCTATGGCCATTTCGAATAAAATCAGCCTAAGAACTCCATTTTATTTACTATACAGTTGCCTTAATTTCAACTCGTTTTAGGCGGCTTTAGACCGCAGTTATCTGATCGATTCATCGTGTGCTTTAGTGCCCCGCTAGCCAATTAGAGACCACGTATATGACTCATGTTATTGCAGCTGTAAATCTCAAGCGGCCTAGTCACGTTTAGCAAAAGTCGACCTTTGTCGTGTGATTTTTTTGTGCTACTTGGAGTAATTCGATTATGGCCCAGCTTCTAACGTAATGAAAATCTTATGAGCCTGAAGTTCTCGAAAATGTCCTTTTTATTATGAATATGGGGAAAGCGCCTTTGATTATTGACTAGCTCGTTAGCTTCCTTTCAATTAACAACTTCTGATCGTTTGCATATTCAGAAAAGCGATTTTTTAACCTTAAATCGTGAAGTGCCTGGTTGATAGTTTATTTGTTTAGTAAAGTAGATGTGATGCTAGGTTTGATCAACCCAGCAATTAAGAAAAATAATCGATAATTGTCTAATTATCTTACGGTTTTGCTTATAGAGACAATTTTAAATTTGCTCTGTTTAAGAACTGGTTTTAAATGAGGGGAAAAATTAGCTAAGCGTTCACATGAGTAGTGTTTTGATAAGGTAATTTGGAATGACTTGATTCATTGGTTCAACTTATCTTTGTTTGAGTTTTTACTTAATCTACTTGAGCAAAATGATAAGTGGAATAAATATATATAATTATGGAGATTCCTACTTCCAACTGCCATTTTGTAATTGACTCTTAAGAATTATGGACTTGTTTACTTAACAATGTCGTTTGGATGTACTCAAATCAACTTGAATATGGTTTGTCTATCCTCGAATGGAAAGTATTTTTACTGATGATAGAGTATATCGATTGTTAGCTTTTTGGACAGCAAAAGAAATTCTTCTCCCTTTGTGATAATGAACTATTTAATGCTTCCACATTTCTAAATTAATTAATGCTCTTGAAATTGTGACTGTATTAAGTGGTTCACTTGGATTGTTCCTCCTTTTCACATCTTTCTGAACTTGTTAGTTGTTCCTTTTGCACAAACGCTTTTCCTTCATCTAATTCTTCGAGTTATCATGGGGGAATTAATAAAAATAACAATAATAATAACACGAGTTGCTCAGCTAGAGAGGCTTCAGAATATCCCCTCGTTAGTCGAAGTTCAATTCGGAGGTCCTGTTACCGATTCTAATAAGAGCAAATTCAGTGATGTGGTCATTAATACTTGTCCATAAGTAGTATAGAAAAATGTACTTTCGCCTGTCCAAAAGAACTTTACCAGGATTCTTTCTCATTCTCCGTCAGTGGGAGTAATGATAAAAAATTGAATAATTAAGAAAGGAGTACTCAAAATAGATTGCCTTCTTTAAAAGGACCGATTAAATGATAACGATGGGCTGTGAAAATGACACTTTTATGCGATTCGTGACAGAAAAGAAAGCGACAATTTTGCGCTATTGAAGGGACACTATTTCTCAGACCGATCGATCAACGAGTGATCGAAGCACCGCATATCAGAAAATCACCCCAAACATTGACATTATACTTCAAAGGCAATTCGTAGAATGAAAAACAACTGCGTATATTTTTATATGCCAAATGCCTCTACGCTTGTTTTCCAAATTAAACCCTCTCCACTTTGCCACCAATACCAATATAATAATGAATATTTATTTATTTAAAATGGTGGGCTTTATGATACTTATCATTTGCGCGTTAGTTGACTTCGGGCTTCACAGAGGGAAGGAGGAACATCAAAGTGAGAAAAAGTGGAGAGGGCGGGGGGGGGGCAGAAGATTGATTCAAAGATGTAAAAGAGGCAGATACAACGTTAGAGGAAAAGGTGAGTACTGTGGAAGTGGTCGAATATGACATACAGTGGAGTGATGGTAGTTTGAAGTTTGCCGGTCAATAGACTTTTTAGCCGTATGAGTATACGTTGCCCAGGATGCACCGCGCGGAGGTAAGTCTATCGCACACCCCATAATGAATATAATTTCTATAAATACATTACC